GGTGGGGAAAGCATCGCGGCGGCTGCGCGGCATGCGGTTACCCTGCCGCGCCGCGCTATCCGCGCAATGACCGACTCTGACTGCCCCCCGCGGGCCTCGCAGGTGCGCGCATTCCGGTGATGATTCCGGCTCCCCCCGCGCGGGCCTCATGATGGCATTCCGTCATATGATTCCCGGCTCCCCCCGCCGGGGCCTTCATGATCGCCCATTCCGCAATGACTCCGGATCCCCGTCCGAGTTCTCGCAGTGGCCATTCCGCAATGACTACGGCAGTTCCCCCCGCCGGAGGCCTCGCGAGGTGGCCATTCCGCGAATGACTCCGGGATCCCCGCGAGCCTCGGCGCCCAGGGGCCATTCCGGCAAGGCACTCGGCCGAGCTCGCCGCCTGCAGGGGTTGTGGCGCTCCACGAGTGAAATCCATTCTGCCAACCGGTCCCGTTTGCGAGCCGTCAGTTAGGTGGCGCCCCCTCGGCGCTCTCTTGCCTCCGGTGTGCGCCCCCGTCACTCGTCTTCACCTCCACGGCCGCGCCCTCTCCGTACAAGCCGACTTTCTCTCCTCCTCAGTCATCTGGTCATAGTTGACGTGGAGCTGAGCCCAGTTCGGCATCACTATCGTTACATCCCCCATCGTAAGCTGGGAGCGTAAGGCGAGATGCTCCCTCCTCCACGGGGATGCGGCCACTTCCGGCCACATGTCCGGCCGGCGAGCGGCGACAGCGCCGGTCGGCTCCGTGTCGCTATCCCCCCTACTCCACAGGAACGCCGTCGGCCGTTCCCGCCGGCAACGACACTTGCCGTCCTGCGTGCGACACGCGAACCGGCATAGGGACAATTCATCCGCTCTTCCACCGAATGTCTTCGCCGGCGGGCGGACGGCGGGATAGGGATGCCTTTGCGGCTCGCAGCCGATACGGGGAAGACGCGGCAGAGCTGGGGCCGCCCCGGAGGCCTGCGGTCGCAGTGAGACGTTAAATCGGACCCGTCGTCCGGGTCGAACTCCGCCCCTGGTATGACCCCAATGCCGCTGTTCACTCCCACTGGCGCCAGCGGGCAGATGTTCCTGTGACTTCCGCGAACGCCGCTCGTGTGGGTCCCGGCCTTTACACTCGACAAGCGCGTTTCGAGAACCGTTCCGAATGTCATCGGCTGTTCACCGCTTGTTCACGGCAAACTCACGAGTTCCTTGCGCCTACATCGGACTGATTGACATTGGTTCAGCGAATTCGAGCCGCTGCCTGCGCGTTTATGGGCCTGTGAGGTTGTGCACCGCGAACTTGCCCGTTGTTGTTCCGGCCATTAAACCGGGACGAGGCGCTCCTCGCCTGCCGACGCGCACCGTGGGACCCCCCTGGCCCGCTGATCCGGTT